TTAAAAGGTATTGGGGAGGGGTCTTTTTTAGGCTTTAAGGAAATTAAAAAATTGTATAGAAAGGCACGAAAGCTGCGCGAAAATGGCGATTTATTACAGGCACTCTTTTTTTTATTTGAAAAAGTAAAAATAATCGATAATTTCCATATGTTTTATCATAGTTTTCAAATGATAATAAATAATTTTCTTATTTATTATTATTCTAAATATGCAAAAATTTCCAAAATCCCCTGAAAATTACGTAATATTTTTACTTTTCCATAACACGGAGGCACAATATTTTAGCTAAGGCTTTATAATATTTCCAAGAGTAGAATATCAACGCAAAAATTTAAATTTAAACGAATTGATCAGTTAAAATGAAACTAGAACAATCATAAATAAACTACTACCGCTTACCAGACAAAAGCGTACATTGTGCTGAGTTATATTTTTATTTTTTTTAAGAAAAGATCATTTTAAACTTGAACTCATGTTTATAACTTAAAACCGATAAAATTAAAAGCGGTTTTATATCAATAATTCATTCGATTTATTATTTGCTGCTGCAAGGAAGATTCCTACGTCTATGTGAAGTTTGGACTACCACTATAAAATTTTGGTTTTTTGAATATTTGGAGAATTTGTTTTTGTAGTAAATTTATTGTTAAAAAAGAAAATTTGTCACTCATCCCCTTTTCAAAAGTAAAGTTAGACTACCCGTCAAGAAAATGAGCATAAAAGACATTTTTTATATGGATAATTTGTAGTTTTTATCGTGAAGTTGTAAAACAAATATGTCACTCATCCCCATTTTAAAATAATGAGAATTTTGATGGAAACTTCACGAAAATTCTCATAAATTAATTTTTTTTAAAAAGGATTTGTAGATTTTTGTCGTAAATTTGTTGTGAAAACGAAAAATTTGTCGCTCATCCCCTTTTTAAAATAATGATAATTTTGATGGAAATTTCACGAAAAAGTCGTAACTCTGTGCAGTTGATGCGACAGTTTTCTTTTAAAATAAAATTTTTTTGTCAGGTATTTGTAAAAAATGGCCCTTTTTGAAATAAAACCCAGTTAATGCTAATTTTGATGAAAACATTTTTATATGGATAATTTGTCGCTTATGCCGTAAATTTGTTGTAAAAAAATTGATACTCATTCCCTTTTTAAAATAAAACCCAGTTGGAGCTAATGAACAAAAATGACATTTTTTATACAGATAATTTGTCGCTTTTCCTCGTCAAGTTATTGTAAAAAAAAATGTCAGTCATCCCCTTTTTAAAATAATCCCCAATTAATGCTATTTTTTACGACAAAAAAACGAGAATTTTTTTCAATATTTATATATCCAAAATTCTAAAATGGTAGTACTAACTTCACGGACGTAAGATTCCTAGCAATATCGAAAAATTGACATTTTATTTACCTACACCTACAACAGTGAGCCTTTACAGCATATGGAAAACCACAAAACTTATCCAGTGTTGGTTGGTGGATTTGAATTCCACCTGAGGCGTAATTTTTCCATTTGTATTTAGAAATCCATCGATAAAAGTTTTTCATATGGTGTAAAATTTTCTCACTATCTTAGTCAGTGTTTAAATTTTAAAAACTCACTTTATATGCCACTTCTATATATGGCATGTAGCACAAAAAATTTCAATGGTTGGTAAGGGAAAATTGTGGAGTATAAAATTTATATATCTATAATTTTGACAAACTTGACTTTAATTTAAGGCAATATTTTTTAACATTTAATATTTTTAACATATTTTTCTATTATATAAATATACGAGACAAATTAGTCTATAATTTGAAATAAGTACTTGTAATATATATTATATTTAAAAAAATATAATAAAACAAAAAAATTGCACATCTTTTGCGGAAAGCTTTAAACAATAAATATTGCACACTAATTTTGATTAAATAAAAAAAAAAAAAAATGTTAAAGCACCAACTTTTAATTCTAATTTGAAAAAAAATCACTTTTTGTCACAATACGACCCCTTTAAATATTCAAAAAATATATACAAAACGTTTCAGATACAATTTTGTTTCAATCGGATCCAATTTTAAAAAATATAAAAAATACTAAATAAATAATTTAATTTTTTATTTAAATTATTAATTAAAATAATATTAATAATTTCCGCTTTTCCAATAAATTTTCCCAGACTATAACAGCTCGTATACTAAAATTATAGTCTGAGAATTTTTATCCAATTATTTGAATTTCCATATTAATGTGTACAATTATTATTTACCGGACTAGAACGTCTCATAAGAAAATAAGAGTTCGGGAAATATCATAAAATATTAAAAATTTGACCAACAAATTGCTATAACGCAAAATTATGACATTTAGTGGATTATAACGATAAATATCAGTTCAAAAACCTTTTAAATTTACGAGTTTATTTTTTTTTACGAAATTCCCTTGGACTAAATTAATAGTTTAAAAACGTTTCTAAATTATTAATTTCCGTCGGTCCAAAATAATAGTCCGGGAAATATTAAAATTTTGATAAATAAATTGCGGTACCACATAATTATTAAAACATTTTAGTGGATTATAACGATAAATATCACTTCAAAAACCATTTAAATTTATGATAGTTTAATGTTTTTTTTAATACGAAATTTTCTTGGACTAAATTAATAATTTCCACTTTTCCATTCAATTTTCCCAGACTATAACAGCTCGTAAAATGAAGGAGTTTGAGAATTTTTATCCAAATTTTTGCATTTCAATATTAATGTGAATATTTACTATTTACCGGACTAAAACGTTTCATAATGAAATAATAATCCGGGAAATATCATAATATATTAAAATTTATATAAACAGTAACGCATAATTATTATGACATATGAGTGAATTATAATGATAATATCACTTCAAAAACCTTTTAAATTTATTAAAGTTTTTTTTACTACGAAATTCTCTTATATTAAATCAATAATTTTCGCTTTTCCATTAAATTTTCCCAGACTATAACAGCTCATATATTAAAATGATGCAAGTTTGAGAATTTTTATCAAAATCATTGCATTTCCATATTCATTTGAATATTTACCGGACTATAACGTTAAAGTAATAGTCCGGTAAATATCATAAAATATTAAATTTCTGATAAAGAACGCAATAACGCTTAATTATTATATTTTAGTGGATTATAGCGATAAACATCACTTTAGAAACCTTTTAAATTTATGCCAGTTTAATATTTTTATGTTGCGAAATTTTCTTGGACTAAATTAATAATTTCCGCTTTTCCATTAAATTTTCCCAGACTATAACAGCTCGTATACTAAAATGATACGAGTCTGAGAATTTTTATCCAAATTTTTGCATTTCCATATTAATGTGAATATTTACTATTAACCGGACTATAACGTCTCAACAAAATTATAGTCCGGGAAATATCATAAAATATTAATATTTTGATCAACACATTTCTGTAACGCATACTTATTATGACAATTTAGTGGATTATAAAAATAAATATCACTTCAAAAACCTTTTAAATGTATGACAGTTTAATGTTTTTTTTTTATTGCGAAATACCCTTTGACTAAATTATTAATTTCCGCTTTTCCATTAAATTTTCCCAGACTATAACAACTCGTATACTAAAATGATGGAGTCTAAGAATTTTTATTCAAATCTTTGCATTTCATTATTAATAATTATGAATATTTGCTATTTACCAGACTATAACGTCTCATAATAATATAATAGTCCGGGAAAAATAAAATTTTGATCAACAAATTGCTGTAACGCATAATTATTGATGACATTTTAGTGAATTATAATGATAAATATCACTTCAAAAACCTTTTAAATGTATGACAGTTTAATGTTTTTTTATTGCGAAATTTCTTTGAACTAATTAATAATTTCTGCTTTTCTATTAAATATTCCCAGACTATAACAGCTCTTATACTAAAATGATGCGCGTCTGAGAAATGTTATCCAAATATTTGCATTTCAATATTATTGTGAATATTTACTATTATTTACTGGACTATAACGTCTCATAATAAAATAGGAAATATCGTTAATTATTAGAATTGCTGTACCGTATGATTATGATATTTTACTGCATTATAACGATAAATACCATTTCAAAAGCCTTTTCAATTTGTGCCAATCCAATGGTTCTTTATTACTAAATTCCCTTGACCAAATTAATAATTTAAAAATGTTTCTAAATTACGAATTAAAAATTTCAATAATAATTTCCGCTTTCCATTAAATTTTCCCAGACTATAACAGCTCGTATATTAAAATGATGGAATCTGAGAATTTTTATTTTTACATTTCCACATTAATATAAACAATTACTATTTACCGGATTATATCGTCCCATAATAATAATACTATAACGTATGATTATGAAATGTGTAACTAATGGTTTTTTTTATTAAAGCGATCTGCAGCCTTAATCTGAAACGTCTTGTATATACCTAAGCCATTTACCATAATTAAACAACATCCAGTTGTCCTGCTAGTGTGTGCTTTACAGGAAAAATTAAAAAAAGTACATTAACATACTTTTACTAAAATTACAGAGATCAGCGTTAATGAAAAATCAACTAAAATTACTTACTATTACAATTTTTCAATAATAAATACTTCCTGTACACCGGTATTGGTTCAAACAACAAAAAAAAAAACAAAAAAAAAAAACGGTCAAACTGTAAATGTCTCGTTTAGCGAAGTTCATGTTCCCATCTCAATCATCGTCTAATCCTGCTGATAACCAGTTTTTAGTCTTTTGCATAGGATGTCGACTGAAATCGTCTACAATTATTATTCATTCGGCCGATTGATAATTACTTTACGCATTAAGTAGTTTAATCCAATTTATAAGTCCATTGTAGGGTATCACGTCTAAATAAAAATCATTTTTTTGAAGATTTAAATTCACACAAAAAGTTTCACGACTAACTAGGCGATTTCCTATGTCTAAATTGCGACACTTTAATACGAAATATCAAATGTACTGGTAAATATTAAGGATTTTCGCGAAATTTTGCATAACCCTTGTAGAAACTCTTAAAAACGTCACTAGTTTTTTTTGTCAGGGAATTACTTTTTTATAACCAAAATTTTTACAACAGAGTGTAGAGTTTAGACGTAAGAAATCGCCCCGGAAGTAATGAATCACCCTGTAGAATGTTTTCATAAATATTTTCCAGAAAAAACTTAATCAAAAATCACTTTCAAAATATGCCGAATTTATGCTGAGATCTCAAAATAGATAGGTAGATTTCAATAATACTAAGGTACAGGAAGTTTTGGTTACTTCTTGTTATCATCTTCTGCCAGGTTTCCTATTTTTTTAGGTACATTGTTGTTATTTGGGAAGCGTATTGTCTCTAGAAATAATAAAATAGCAAGTTTTTACTACAACAGATAATTAATCAGTAAAAAAAAAATAATAGGTACATTCAAAATGCAATCTAAAAAATCATGATCTGTACACTTTCCCTACTGTAGTATACAGGAAAGCAAATAAGGGGAGTTTCCTTTGCAATTATGACAATTTTGAATGTAGAAATAGTTAACAAATTTTATTTACTTTGTTTCAACAAACATAATGACTAATTTTACTCGGAATTTACTATGACAAAACACTTGAAACACCATTCTAAATATCTTTAACTTTGTTATCACTTCCACAATTAAATAAACATTACAACTGCCTGATTGTAAATGTGTAACCTATTATTTCTAATATTTTTAAAAAATGGTTCATATTAAATACATTTACTATTAAAATATGCAAGGTATGAAAATGAAAAGAAAATAAACCAGTGGATAATAAAATTTTTTTCTAAATATTAAGCCATTATTTCATAGAACCATTTTTCAAAATATTAAAATAAAATTAGCTTTCAAATGAAGTGTCACACTTGACAATACATTAAAAATTTCTCCCGCTAAAAAGCGCTAACATCTAAAATCACGTAATGGACATTCATATTGCTGGATTATTCGAAAAATTACCTTTTCAATGATGTGTCATACTTGGTACTTGGGAAATGACATATGACAGTTGAGCAATATGATAAAAAGATGTACTTCTTTTAATCAACGAGTTTAAAATGTTGATATACAACAGTAGAAACCATGATTGCTTGGTCAAAACATTTTCGTACGCTGATGATGAGTATCACAGGTTGGGCTTAAATTGCTTGGTTGTAGCATTTACAGACTCTGATGAGTATTGCCCACAAATAGGACATATATTGCTTGGTCAAAATATCTCCAGACGATGTTGATGAGTATTGCCACCAGGTAGGGCCTACTGCAGCCTAGATTGCTTTGTCAAACCATTTTCGGAGTCTAATGACAAATATTGTGCACAAATAGGGCCTAGATTTCTTGGTTAAAACATTTTCAGACTCTGATGACACATATTGCCCACAAGTAGGGCCTAGATTGCTTGGTTATAACATTTTCAGACTCTAATGACAAATACTGCCTTCTGTAGGACCTAGATTGCTTGGATATAACATTTTCAGACTTTGATGATGAGTATTGCCCACAAGTAGGACCTATATTGTTTTATCAAAACATTTTTCAGACTCTGATGATGAGTAATGCCCTCAGGTAGGACCTACTGCGGCCTAGATTGCTTGGTAAAAACATTTTCAGACTCTGATGATAAATATTACCCACAAATAGGACCTAGATTGCTTAAGGTTGTAACATTTTCAGACTTTGATGATGACTATTGCCCACAAGTAGGACCTAGATTGCTTGATCAAAACATTTTTCAAACTCTGATGATGAGTAATGCCCTCGGTAGGACCTACTGCGGCCTAGATTGCTTGGTTGTAACATTTTCAGACTTTGATGATGAGTATGGCCCATAAGTAGGACCTAGATTGCTTGGTCAAAAATTTCAGATTGATGACAAATATTGTCCACAAATAGGGTCTAGATTGCTTGGTTATAACATTGTCTGACTTTGATGATGAGTATTGCCCACAAGTAGAACCTAGATTGCTTGGTCAAAAATTTTCAGACTCTGATGATGAGTAATGCCCTCAGGTAGGACCTACTGTGGCCTAGATTGCTTGGTCAAAACATATTCAAATTCTGATGACAAATATTACCCACAAATAAGGCCTAGATTGCTTGGTTGTAACATTTTCAGACTTTGATGATGAGTATTGCCCATAAGTAGGACCTAGATTGCTTGGTCAAAACATTTTTAGACTCTGATGACAAATATTGCCCACAAGTAGGGCCTAGATTGCTTGGTTATAACATTTTCAGACTCTGATGATGAGTATTGCCCACAAGTAGGAGCTAGATTGCTTGATCTAAACATTTTTCAGACTCCGATGATGAGTATTGTCCCCAGGTAGGGTCTACTGCGGCCTAGATGGCTTGGTCAAAACATTTTCAGATTCTGATGACAAATATTGCCTACAAGTAGGGCCTAGATTGCTTGGTTATAACATTGTACGAATTTGATTATGATTATTGCCCACAAGTAGGACCTAGATTGCTTGGTCAAAACATTTTTATACTCTGATGACAAATATTGCCCACAAGTAGGGCCTAGATTGCTTGGTTATAACATTTTCAGACTCTGATGACGAGTATTGCCCACAAGTAGGAGCTAGATTGCTTGATCTAAACATTTTTCAGACTCCGATGATGAGTATTGTCCCCAGGTAGGGTCTACTGCGGCCTAGATGGCTTGGTCAAACCATTTTCAGATTCTGATGACAAATATTGCCTACAAGTAGGGCCTAGATTGATTGGTTATAACATTGTACGAATTTGATTATGATTATTGCCCACAAGTAGGACCTAGATTGCTTGGTCAAAACATTTTTATACTCTGATGACAAATATTGCCCACAAGTAGGGCCTAGATTGCTTGGTTATAACATTTTCAGACTCTGATGATGAGTATTGCCCACAAGTAGGAGCTATATTGCTTGATCTAAACATTTTTCAGACTCTGATGATGAGTATTGTCCCCAGGTAGGGCCTACTGCGTCCTAGATGGCTTGGTCAAAACATTTTCAGATTCTGATGACAAATATTGCCAACAAGTAGGGCCTAGATTGCCTGGTTATAATATTTTCAGACTCTGATGATGAATATTGCCCACAAGTAGGACTTACATTGATTGGTCAAAACATTCTCAGACTCTAATGACAAATATTGCCTACAAGTAGGGCCTAGATTGCTTGGTTATAACATTTTCCTACTTTGATGATGAGTATTGCCCATAAGTACGACTGAGATTGTTTAGTCAAAACATTTTCAAATTCTGATAAAAAATATTGTCCACAAATAGGGTTCAGATTGCTTGGTTCTAATATTTTTAGACTCTGATGATTATCCACAAGCAGGACCTGCATTGCTTGGTCAAAACATTTTCAGATTCTGATGATGAGTATTGACCACAGGTAGAGTTTAGATTGCTTTGTCAAAACATTTTCAAACTCGAAAGATAAATACTGCCGACAAGTAGGACCTAGATTGCTTGGTCAAAACAGTTTCAGACTCTGATGATGAGTATTGCCCACAAGTAAGACCTAGATTGCTTGATCGAAAGATTTTCGGACTCTGATGATGAGTACTGTCCATAGGTTGGCCTTAAATACGGGTCAAAGCTAAAGAATCAAAATAAACAAACCTCAGCTTGGGTGCCAGATCAATTAAAAGATCCAAATAATGAATCTTTCGATGGGATTGCCAATTCAATGTGTAAGGCATCTATCAAACAATGGATGCAGCGTAAGGAAATAGAAGATTTAACGGATCAAAGGAATTTAGTTAAACTAGCAAAAAACAAAATTCGTAAAAAATACGATTTTACTTAGCTTTTTTAACCTATTCAATTCTATACTAGTCCTATTCTAGGTTATGTCCTATTTCATTTTATACGGATTTATAAAGATTGATTCAAGATATTTTGTACAGAAGAAGTTCTCTATAGCTTCGTTTGCGGTAGAATCCCAAATCGAATTATAACAATTTCGCATGCGCAGTAGATAAAAAGTGTTCGCGAAACAAAAAAACTGAATTATCCGGTCTATGCTGTGTTCGCAGTAAAATTTTTACTAGTTCTAAACCGCTTGTGTTATACCTGGAATACCGAGGAGTTACCCGCGCGGTAAAAATTCAAAATTGATAATGAATCGGGCATGCTCTCAAAGTATGAATCAGTACACAGGTTTCTTACCGCGAACGAAGCTTATGTATACAGCCGTAAAAAATTAACCGTAAACTTACCGCTTTTAAGACACCGAACTGATCGCGTTGTGCGGCGCCCCCATTTGCGTCAGCACCTTGTCCAACCACTGCAACGGCCCGTTCAGGTGCACCTCGATCCAACAAGGCGTGCTGGTCACGTCCTGCCGATGGTATTCCGCGCCCCAACCCTTGACGAAACTCATTCTGATCGTACACATTTTAGTCAGTTCGTATACCGCCTCGAAACCATGGTTCACGCACTGCGACAACAATTGCGCGAACTCTGCGTTGTTGAATATTCTCAACGAACAACCGGCCGGTATTTTGCAAACGGTGGACGGATGGAAACCGTGGTGGTGGTTGCAGTTCCTCGACTGCACGAATATAGCGGAATCGGATAGACATTCGGCGTATACTTCGCCGTTAACGTAGTACAGATGCACTCCTCTGCCGATATGCCGTCTGGTGTTCTCTATGGTTGAGTTGCGGTTGACGTTGCTCAACTGCCCCAAACAAAAACGATCGCTGTTGTTACTGGGATTGGTGAAACCGTCTACGATCACAGACGTCGAATGGCATCTAAACACTTCACCCACGCGACAATTGAGCTCGTAGTAAGCTATCGAAGCCCAGTAAGGCTGCTCTTGGTACGGCACAGGTTGCACGTCAGCTGTCAAAGTTGGTTCAGGACTTGCATTGTTATTTGTATTCGTATTATTTTCGTCTGTCGGACTGTAGGCGGGTGGGGGTGTTTCGGCTAAATTAGCGTAAGGTGATTGGGGATTATTCGAAGTCACGCTAGCGGGACTGGACACGCTGGATAAAGGCGAGGCGGGATTTAAATGATTGGAATTGAATCCGTTGGATGTATAACTAACGTTATGCGGCATATTCGGTTCGACAAGTTGCTGGAAAGGTAGTAACGAATGCCCTGGTACGAAATCGTTATGCCTTGGAACCAATACAGGAGGCAATACTGGACTTTCAACTCGTTTGTAGTGATAAGGATTGATGCACACCTCTTTTTGTTTCGCAGAAAACGGGTACTGACAATGTTCTAAAGGTTTCAACTCGTGATGGCTTTGCAAATCCGGCCATCTCCACACTCTGCAATAGATAACGTGCGGTAAACCTTTTCTATGAGACACTTGCAACCTTCCGTCCAAACTTCTAGGGATGGTTACGCATTTGCTCGGCGTTCCGGGACAGGACAGTGCGCGTTCTAGTTCTTCTATGGCGCCTTTTCGTTTTTTTAGTTTCTTGACGAGGCTGTCCACAGCCTTCTCCGCCCACTTTTCCTCTTCGTCGCCTTGCTTCCAGCCGAGTAGCTTTTTGACGGCCGGGCTGGTGAAGGAGAAGAGGCTGTTGAGGGTCGAGATCGGACCACTGCTCGAGGATTCGGCCTCATCGGCGTCCATGTTGAAACTGGAAATAACAAGGTTGCTAGCGAATCCTTTTCTTTTAATAATAAATTTTGTTTAGAATATAGCGCCGCATGCAATAATGTATAAGTACATATAAAACTATTTGTAAATAAAATTGATAGATACTAGACGTGTATAATATAATTGTGTCGAGCTCAACAAAAATTTGGGTTCATATACAGAATGTTCCTTAATGGTACACAAATATTTAAGGGTATAAAATAATCACAGAAAATCTACACAAACATCAATATTTCAATTTACATAAAATATAAATTTAATTAAGAAAAAATATCCAGCGCTTGGTATGTTTCTTGATATAGAAAATAGACCAAAGAGTTTGCATTATCCATGATTTTCAATAAAAAACAAATCAGATATAAACACAACAAATGTAGGAATACTACAGGGAAGCATTGCTGGACCATTCTTTAATTATATACATGAATGACGTGTGTCTAAATAACCTTTATTAATTTATAACTGTGTGCGCAGACGACACTAACCTTCTCGCAGGTGGAGGAACATATCATAAAGCACCGTAGTAAAATAAAGGAATGGCTATTTAGATTCTAATTTAAATTAAAAATTTTAAATATTTTGTATCTTTCAATTTTTTTTAAATAAAGATTCTTATACAGGGTGCTAAAGTTTTAGAAATCGCTCGCGAAATATTACAATGATATTTTTAGAACATAGTGGCTGTTAAAAAAGGTGCATATTTTTTAATTCAAAAATAATTGTCAGGTTTAACAGCGACGTGCGTAAGGGCACTGACGATATTTTTTAAGAAAAAATAAGTAGTGCGCCAAATAAAAATTATTTTTAAATTATCCATTCAATTTGAAACATGGAAGCTCTCTTGAGTTGTTTTACCGCGAAGTACCGTTTTATAGTAAAAAATAAAAAACGTTGTAGTGTCCGAGATACAATTTTGTAATAAATCAAATTATCCTGGAACATGTCACGCCACTGTTGTTGAAAATAATTTACCAATAAATGTACCAAAAGTAGAATTAAAAAAAAAAAATAATAAAATGAAATAAATAATACTGTTTAATCATTCAAGAGATAATTATGCCCTTTCCTGTATATAGAAAATAAATTTACAAGAAGAATTAATTATCAAAAAAATACAAAATGAAATAAATAAAACGGTTCAATCATTCAGGAGACAATTTTGCCCTTCCCTGTATACAGAAAATAAATTTACCAAAAGTAGAATTAATTTTCAAGAAAATAAATTGAAATAAATAATACGGTTCAATCATTCAGGAGACAATTTTGTCCTTCCCTGTATACAGAAAATAAATTCACCAAAAGTAGAATCAATTTGAAAAAAAAAAAAAAAAATGAAATAAATGAAACAGTTCATTATTAATTAATGCACAGCAGTTTGTAAAAATGGGGGGTTAAGGAGAGTTACAGTTAAAAAGCTCTATAAAGAGACGAAGCTTACTGATTTTGAAAAAAAAAACTCTGAATAAAAATGGGAGGGTTAAAGGGGGTTAAAATATTAAAAAAATTCTAATTCAAAAACGAAAAATAATATCTACTTGAAATTTTTAGGAAAATCAATCTCTATAAGGAAACGAATCCTGTTGATTTTGAAAAAAAACTCTGAATAAAAATGGGTGGGTTAAAGGGGGTTAAAATATTAAAAAAATTCTAATTCAAAAACGAAAAATAATATCTACTTGAAATTTTTAGGAAAATCAATCTCTATAAGGAAACGAATCCTGTTGATTTTGAAAAAAAATCTAAATAAGAATGAGGGGGGTTAAAGGGTGTTAAAATATTTAAAAAATCCTAACTCAAAAATAACAAAAATTATATCAACTTGAAATTTTTAGGAAAAATCAAGCTTTATAAGGAAACGAATCCTATTGATTGAGGGGTACCACTGCTTCTTATGAAATCATATTTATTTAATAGACAACAATGTGTCACAGATTTTGACGATAACAATAGTCTAGTTAAATCAGATTAAATCTATAAAAAAAGGTGTGCCACAGGGTTCCATATTGGGTCCTTTATTCTACATACTATATATAAATAAACTACCAGAAGTTGTTGATGAAATTTTAGTACAATATGTCGATGACACCTCATTGGTTTTTAGTGAACCAACATTTGTCTTGATTTATGAAAGATAAAACCAAATTCCACATTAAATACATTAAAGCATTGATTTAAAAACAATAATTGCCTGTTAAATGTCAATAAAACTAAAGTGATTAATTTTAGTCATGGCAAGGATCAAAGCACCACATTTACATGAACATGAAAATTGGAATTGCAGCTACTGACTACAAATTATTAATGACGCGTTTCAGGGTTTTTGGATTTTCACATTTTAAGGGGGGGAAAATTTATTTAGGAGTATCCATGTTTTTGGTTCTCTTTAAAGTTAGAAACATGAAAATTGGAATTGCAGCTACTGAGTACAAATTAATAATGACATGTTTCAGGGTTTTTGGATTTTCACATTTTAAGGGGAGGGGGGAAATGGGAGTGAAAATTTATTTGGTAGTATCTATGTTTTTAATTCTCTTTAGAGTTAGAAACATGAATATTGGAATTGCAGCTACTGACTACAAATTATTAATGACGTGTTTCAGGGTTTTGGATTTTAACATTTTAAGGGGGGAATGGGAGTGAAAATTTATTTGGGAGTATCTATGTTTTTGGTTCTCTTTAAAGTTAGAAACAGAAAATTGGAAATGCAGCTACTGAGTACAAATTAATAATGACGTGTTTCAAGGTTTTTGGATTTTATTATTTAAAGTTTCAAACATAAAAATTTGAATTACAGCTACTGATTAAAAATCAAAAATGATGTGTTTCATGGTTTTTGGATTTTCACATTTTAAGGGGGTGAAAATTTGTATAGAACTATACATTTTTTGAACGTTGGAACTTGAAAATTGTAGCAAAAATAAATAATGACGTGCTCTGTGGTTTTTAGATTTATGTATGGTAGTATCATAAAAATAAACTAAAATTAAAAAAAAAAAAAAAATTAAAAATTAATAAATATTATTAAAAATTAATGAAACTTAATGAAAATTAATAAAAATGAATAAAAATTATTAAAAATGAATAAAAAGTATATAAAAAAAAAATGAATAAAAATCAATAAAAATTAATAGAAAAGGAAGTCTTGTATTTTTTTATATTAATAACAAAACTACATGCAAGCAAAGTCGCGAGCAAAGCCACGAGCAAAGCCGCGGGCAACAGCTAGTTCAAAATAAACATGAACTTCATAATTAATTCTAATTCAAAATAAACATAAATCTTAACATAATTGTCCCTCATGCATATAATAAAAAAAAAGAGAAAAAACAAAAGAGTAAAAGACACAGTGATGTAGGTATTTACCATAACAGACTGGTTAAAACTATAAAAAGTAAAATAAAAAAGAAAAGGAACAATTTTTAACTATATAATTCATAAATTATTTTTAACATAAATAATAAGTTCTTTCTTAAATTGACTAGGATTCTAAACATTTTTAAAATTTGATGGATCCTTTTATGAAATAAGCTTTTCATAGAACTACATTTATTAATATATAAAATTTGATAGAGTTTGCTGCTTTTGTGTTTCTTTGATGTATTTTTGTGACGGGGATTAGTTGACAGTTAAGATATTCATGCAACAAATTGTTTATTTTAAATATAAAAACCGTTGTTTGTACCTACATATATATATATAGCAGTTTTTCAACACTTAGCAAATTTAAGTTATCTAACATAAACTGAATACTGGTATATTTGTTACAACCTAGTATCACTCGTATCGCTTTGTTTTGTAGGAACTGAAGTCTGTCAAAATTGGAATATCCTGTATATATTAAAGAACAGCAATAGTAAAAGTGGGGTAGAATAAGTGTGTCTTATATAAGTGACACTCTTTGTAATAATCCTATTTTTTTCATACTTTTTTACAGATATAACGGACTTAATACATGGATTTTTTTAAACATTTTTTTTCTGTTTCTTGCATAAATTGTTTTATTTTTTATTAAAAAAAAAATGTTTTTTTTTTTTATTTTCTTTATAATTCATTAAATATAATTAAAATAAAATTTTAATTTTTGTCAGCACATACAGGTGTTCTCACCTAGGTGCTTGTTATTATATAATTGGTTTCCATTATTGTAACTTATAACTTATATCAATAGTTAACACAATATTCTGAATGCTACCCATGTAATATTGATTTAAAACATCAAAATTCTCATTATATTCTGTCCCTTCACACACCAAACTATTAATGTAAGTTTGTCGAATTTTTTAATCCAACTATTCATTTAAGATGTTTCCACATTAACTTTGGATTTCCCTTGTTTTTATCTATATTTATTTCATAAAAATTATGTTTGGCTTCTCTCAAGCTCCGACCACATTCATTTCTTTTTAGTTTATACTTCTTCCAATCATCTGCATTTATTGTCAAACCACTGATTATTTACATTATGTACTTGTATATATTTTGTAGGAGCTATAAAATTAATTACTGATAATACATTATCTAGAAAAATATCTGCTAGAACATCAACATCAACTACAGAATATCCCCAATCCCTTTCAATCATTTTATCATAATTTATATTTGTATTTTGACTTGTATAATGAAATGGTCTGATATTATGTAATTTTTTTTTACACAAGCAATTAAAGTGAAATCATTAGTTAACATGAGGTCAATTGTTGACTTAGTATCCTTATATACTCTAGTAAATTCAGTAATTAGTTGTTTTATCGCATTATTTTCAATATATTCTTGGAGTTTTCTTTTTTTTTGTCAATTTTTATCAAAATGAATGTTGAAATCTCCTGTTATAATCACACATCCATCCATTCTGAAAAGGATTTAAAGATTAGGGTAATGTTAGCTTTGGGGAACCTATAAACACCTGCTACACCGTATCTAGTACCATTCACTCTAACTTCTATAGATAACAACCAAATATTCATATCAATGAATAAAGTTTTTATATTTGACACTTTTAAAAATGTTTTGGTAAATATTAGAACTCCCCCAGTGTGTCGACAACTTGAATCACATAATTCAGAATCCTCAAACTCACTAACACCTTTCAGTGAAACATAGAAATTAAGGGTTGATATTTTTCTGTATATATTATTTAATCTTTGTGTTTTAAAGTAGCTTTCTGCATTCATGCAGGTTAGAAATAAATTATGTTTGATAATATTTGAGCTTTTCTTTGGTTGTTATTGATAATTAACTATTTATTTGACTTTAGAAATTTGTTTTATATAACTTAAACGTGGTGATCAACATTAATGTTTTTATTTTCAAGACATCTGTGACAAATTTACAATTTGTACATTCCTACTTACTGGCTTCGCAGTCTTCTAGTTTGTGAGTTTTATTGCACATAGTACACACTGCTTTGTGTAGACTAGAGTTCGCTATAGTGAAGTAACTATCATGTAACTTTACTAAGAGATCAAAAGATTGATCCGTAGATTAATAAAAAATACATTTAAAGAACAAAACTACTAACAGGGTAGGTATCTGCTATGACTCCCGAAAGTGTTATAATAGATTTTTGATTTTAAATTATATTGCTTTATGTATTGCCTACAAAATAAAGCAGTATATATATATATACCACATAGAAGCACTATTTAATTTAAATTAAGTATTTTTTACAAAATAACAGTACTGTAAATACTTAAATATTCAATCTATATAAAAAGGCAAATTTAATATTGTTTACCAGCAAACTATCACAATATCCTGTTGTTACTAACACTGTGCAAACCTCTATACTTAATACCATCTAATATAAAGCTGTTATTAATTTACAGCTAATAAATCCACTATTAACTTTTCCAAAAATTCTTATAGGAACCCAAAAATTTGAATGAACCACTGATCATAACCTCATTTCAATAAAACACTTGAAACCAATTTTGAAACTAAAAACTTTCACTGGTAAACCAACTGATATTTATTACAACATTCACTGGCGTAATTCGGCGAAAATTTAGCAAAATTAAAACTTTTTTTTGGAAAAACTGAAAGAACAAATGACTCACTAGTTATTAAAATGAGTCACATAATATTGATAATCTGTAGCCATGGTGTGCCTTACAAAAACTGAAACCACTTAACAACAAAATCGCATGAACTTAATTCATTACGCATCTGTTTTGAGAGTGATACTAGCTGCACATTTCCTAGTACTGGAGTATTTATCAAGAGCAACATTTTTTTTGTGATCAACAAAAATAAAACAGACATGTACATTCGACACTTGATAGCGTATTTTCGAGTTTCGGGCTCGTTTCGGTGGGTGTTGCTTATTTTATTGGTTACTTACCTTTTCTATCACTCAAATATTGATGTTGTGGCTCACTGATTACCGTTTTTATTACAAAATTTCGGCAAAATAAGAAAAATAGCACTACAAACTGCTTTCTTCTCGACGCCTTGATCTTTCACTTGTCGTTTGTCGAGCTTTCACGATGTACGATGGCGCTGCTGCATAGGCGCGAAATTCAAATTTAAATAATCTTGAATGATGTCGATTTTCGTGTTTTTAATCGAAAATATTTCGTTTTGATGGCAATTTATTACTGAAAATACTTTTAATATATCTAATAATAGTATTTATAGGAAATAAATGCAGTAAAAACGTAATAATATGTTTGTTGAGTTGAAAATGATCTAAAATCTAGATATTTGTGACATTTTCATTTTAATATCGCGTAATATTTTACCAATTTGATTATTTTATGACAATTTATATTGTTGTACCTAATAGGTATTATTATTAGAAAAATTATAAAATATGTCTATATTTTAACAAAGCTGACATAAGTAGGGACAGACCTAGAAAATTTGGTGCCCAATTTAGACATACATTTAAAGCATAACTTGATATTTTAATGTGTTTCCAGTATAATCTAAATGTATTGCTACTATATGTGGAATATTGGCTGTAACTATCGAAAATATTAAAAAATAAATATAAATATAAATATAATAAAGTTGTTTTGTAGTTCATTTTAAATTGTATATAGTGACATTGTCAGCTTAAAAAAAAAACAGCAAAATTTGAAAAAGGCTATTTTTCTGACTACAACAGTATGTTAATATTGAATTATATTATTTTTTTATTTTATTTATTTACGGGTTGAAACCTTTTTCAAAATAAAATATACATTTATTATCTTAATACTAACATAAAATTGAAATTACTTTGTGATATACTTCATACTATTTTTAAAGCTACCTAAAGTGACATTAAACAACTCTAAATCTTTATTGAATTTATTTCCTAGTTTTAAAATCCTAGTTACCGTCTCATTCAGTCCATAATTCGTGTGATGGAAAGGTATATTTGTACTAAATGAAATCAATTGTAAAATAAGTAATCACACAGTACTAAATTATTATTTTAAATAGAAATAAAAGATCTGATTCTATTCTCTGAGAGTATTCATATTCAAGGAGTGAAGAATATCAATCATTATATGTATATTCTTCTCTCCTTAAGCCCATTTTATATGCACAAATTCGTAGAAACTTATTTTGTACCTTTTCTATCTGTTCAATATAAGTATTATAGTTATAGGAGACCAAATAGGACTACAGTACTACAGAACTGAACGAACGAGTGCAAAGTAGAGGATTTTAAAAGAAGCAATTGACAACTCAGAAGTATATCTTTGTAAGAAACCTAACATTTTAAAAGCCTTTGACACAAATACTATCAATGTGGATGCTAAAAGACAACTTCTTATCAAAAATAATTCCCAAGCCCCTGATATCTTCTACCTCTTTAAGAGGCTTATTATTAATCGTGTATGAGTACTGATGTATAATATTTGATTTACTAAAACTAATTTTGTAACATTTATTTACATTCAAATATAAAACATTCACATCACACCAGCGAGATAAACAGTTTAAATCTTCTTGCAGCAATTGCCGATGATTTACATCATCGGCAAACTCCAGTTGTTCACTATTTTTAATGGAACTACTCAAATCATTAATAAATAAATTAAATAATAAGGGGCCTAAGTGAGTCCCCTGTGGCACTTCTGACAATACACTTATTGATTAAGATGTGCAGCTGCCATATTTAACTAATTGTGTTCTGTTTGACAAATAACTAAAGATCCAGTTGTCCTCTGAATCCATAACTATCCAATTTAGAGATTAAAATTTCGTGATTGACCCTGTCAAATGCTTTTGAAAAATCCACATACATATGCTGCGTTTGAGAATCCACATCGGATGCATCTGAGATGTAAAATATCTTTGATCACGTGGTTCAGTATACGTAAATGTAATGGGACAGATGTGTCCGATGTGGATAAAAAAACGCTCGAGATGTAAAAAATGCATCCGATGTGGATTCTCAAACGCAGCAATAGAGTCAACTTGATGTTTTGCTTCTATCTAAGAAGCTAACAATTTAGGTAGTTCTGATTTCTGATTAAATGTACACTGCTCGATAATTTTCAATGTTTTCTTTGGAGTCAGATTTAAAAAATTGTGTTTCCAATATTCGGGAAAGATGCCTGAATTAAAGGACATGTTAAACAGCACCAGTAGTGGTGACCAGGCACTAAATGCAATAGATACTAGATTTAAACAACTTAGTCACCATAGTAATTATTTTCAGTTTTTATATAATATATAATATGATTTGAAGGGCATGTCTAAAGAAAATCTTTTAAAACATTGCAACGATCTAGAAAGTATTTTAACTCACGCTGATTCTGTTGATATTAATAGGGTAGAATTAGCAGAAGAAATGTGTGCAGTATCTAGGCTTATGAATAAGTCTATACATATATTATATCTATATTTAATAGTGGTACTCTCAATTCATCGCAAACCGTAAAAAGTAAGAAAACATTAAAATAATATAAAAAAAAACTAAAAATAAAGTCTGCTAACAAACTATCTACAATAACTCCATATCTAGACATACTATCAAGTTCATATGTTGAAAAGACTAAGTCTATAACATAATGAATAAACATAAATCCACTGAAACCGACCTGCAGGCAGTGTCAGTTTGTATGTGGAAACTTTGGTATGAAAAAAAAATATATATAAATAAAATATTATTAACATTAATAAAAATAACTCAGTAAAGTATCACAATAAGGTAAAGCGTCACAATAGGGTTAATATGAGTCACAATTAGGGTAAAGCATCACAATAGGATAAAGCATCACAATAGGGTAAAGCGACAAAAATAATGTTTTAATCGGTATGACAGTTAAAATATATTACAATTAAAATTAATATTATCTATAGGTACACATAGAAGGTATAACATAATTTGATACAAGAATTTATATTAGTTAATTTAGTTTATTAATAATTTATATTATTTAATTTAGTTTGGTGTCTTCAAGGTGTACCCTACGATATATTATTTATTATATTATGAAATGTTACTCTGGGTGTATCTTTAATCCAAAGTTTAAGTGAATTTTTAAATGTAATTGTATTTTGGATATTTTTAAGTTCTGCTGGAATGCTGTTATAAATTTTAGGTGCAAGGTAATTAATGCTTCGTTGTTTAATTGTTTTTTCACATTTAGGTACCTTTACGTTTCTGGTAGAATACGAGTGTGACAAAGGTTCTATTATTACTTTTTTTTATGAATGTTTATAATAATTTTTTCACAATACAGTTGCCTTACGTCAAGTACATTACTAATTTGATATAATGCGTTACTAGAAAACCTAATGTTTTTTCTATATATTATTCTTCGTATCCATTTTTATAATATGTTCACTTTATCAAGATGGAAATCATGAACTCCTCTCCATCCCAGCACACCATAAGACAACTGTGATTGAACTAAGGCAAAGTAAAGAATACGTAAATGATTAATATCTAAAAAATCTGTCAAATATCGAAATCGACCTGTTAAACCTCGTATTTTATTAATCAAATTATCGATTTGTGAATCCCATCGTAAATGTCTATCAATGGTTATTCCTATATTTAACTGCTTTCTCTTCCGGGATCTCTGTATTGTTATCAATATTTAATAACATATCCATATTTAATGAGGTGATACTGTCAATTCATCGCGATAAAGTAATACTGAAATCTAATTTAGAAACACCTTAAAATAATTTTGGCCTACACTATATACTTTAGGACTTAGGTAATCGTTTTAATGTTTTTATACATCATTTTGAATGGTTTTTTTGAATTCTAGTCCATGTTGCTCAAAAATATCCTTATGTAAAATACTGATATTAATTACATCGTTGTAATGAGGAAAATATAGCTTCTTTCAAATTGAGAATTACAATTTACAAAAAAAGTTGGCACCCATCCGTATTTTGTTTCCTAAGTTGGCAATGACACTTTAAAATTTGAAATGAACAGCATAACAATTTTATTATCAAAATTATTTTTTAACATTTTTGATATTTCAAAAGTTATGCTCTCATTATTCCACACAATTGAACCACCCTGTATAAAGCAAGTACATTATTCTAAATTAGTAATATTTGGTTAATTTAGGTAAATATAAATTCGTAATTAATAAGAAAAATTATAATCAATCATTTATCTTTTCTTTTAAAACAACGGTGCCAAATTATTTTGTCTCACTCTACATCTATCAAGCATCAGCCTTATCTATAAATATCTCATACACTTGTTTGAGTTTTTTGATATTGTTTTTATCTTTATTTTTAAAATAATGTGTCCTACATTTTGTGCCGCAAAAGACATGCGGTTTTGGCGCACGCCCGTTTGCATTCTATTGCGACGTTGTCGCGCTTCTAAAAAGAAAGCGGATCTAGAGATTTTTCTTAACATTACCAGTAAAATAGGTTCTTGCGATGTGTTTATATGACGAGATGCTAAATGCCACTTGTGGGTACACATAATTGTCATAAGAATGATGTAAATATACGCGCGAAATTTTAAAAAACATGTAAAAGCAAACTTTTTACGTGTTTCATTAATTGTCAGATGCAAAAATAAAGGATTTTTTCAAAATTGTTAATACAGTAAGTGAGGATATTAAAAATAAGTTTAAATAGTTTTTTAATGTATATAACTGGTATTTAAAAAATGAGGGTGTTTTAAAAATTATTAATGTAGTAAATGGGACGTTCAAAATAATATATTAAATTGTTTTTATTTTAAATAACTGGTATTTCGA